ATCAAAAACAACACGGTATAGTTTATGCGTCTTTATGGTATTGTATACAGGGTGGTCCCAAAATGTATTCCGGAAACTTCAGCAGCATATTCTACAGATAAAAATAAGTAAAAAAGTTCGTATAAATGTACATGTATCCCAAAATGCTTAGTTTTGGAGATACAGGGTGTAGAAGTTTAATTTTTTTTTCTATTTTTTCCAAATAATTTCTGAAGTAACGTCAATATTTAGATGAAAATTTCTCATATCAAAAAACTCCCAGACACCAATTTTCATGCAAATATTGACGTTAATTCTACACCCTGTATCTCCGAAGCTAAGCATGGTCATAAATCAAAAACAACACGGTATAGTTTATGCTCTTTATGGTATTGTGTTGACAGGGTGGTCCGAAATGCATTCCCGAAACAATGGCAGCATATTCTGCACCTAAAAATAAGTAAAAAATTTTGTATAAACTTATGTCCTAAAATGTTTTAGTTTCGGAGATACAGGGTGTAGAAATTTCATTTTTATCTCGATATTTTTCCTATTAATTTCTAAACTAAATTCGGATAAAAATTAGTATCTCGGTTTTTCTCTAATATGAGAAATTTGATTTCGATGTCAATATGACTCCTACTTACAGGGGGCGTCACCTACATCTTCAACATTTCTACGTGTAACATTTTTATCAGTGGAAATACGGCAACGAGATATTTACAGTGACTAGCTATAAAGGCACGGTCTTAGGTGTCACTTTCATATTGCGGCTGAGTCGCTTGGTTGTTAGAATGTGATCCTATGAAATTTATGTTGCCATATTTCCCCGCTTTACTCTATATTTATAAAACAATGAATATGACATTATTGTGGGAAATAAAAACAACTAAACTAAAAAATCCTAGGCATAGCCCACACATGAATACTATATATGAATAAAAATATAGAAAACTAAAAAATTATAGATACATCTACATTCCGAGTTGCAGCCCGTTACCGTTCTTGGTGTTGGATGACTATCCTTGTTGTTTATATACCGATCGGGACAGGTCAACTCTGTGTATAGGATTTTAACGTGTAAGACAGTGATGTAGGCAGCTTAATGGCAAATCAAATGTATTAAAAAGAGAAAAAAGTTGGGTGGGTATGGGTGGGTATGGGTGGTTACATTTCTTCTGAGCGGTATTGCCGGATTTTGCATCAAAATTTCAAACCGCAGAAGTAGACGTTTCAAAAAAATGTTGGGTTGGATCAGGGTTGGATCAGGGTTCTAATTAATGATATTATTTGACAATATGCTATTAGTTATGCAGAGGTTGTTAGAGGAAGTTTATCTGGCAACACTGAGTGCAGTCTCGAATTATCATCGGTATCGGAGTCAATTTGTGCTCCCACCATGCTCATTCTTAATCCCGCCTACACGTTTACGAACCGGCAACACTGTATCCCCCCTTTTATTTTGCGTCTCTCTCTGTCAACCGGTCAATTGTATTATTCTCTGTCGTATCCATTAAAATCCTATACACAGTAATTAAATGACCAGGACTGTATGTGTGTTTCCTTATGGTAGTGTCAGGTCTTCTATCCACTTGGTCCTCCCGCACTGATGAAGCCAGAAGGCAGAAACTGCGGTCTGCGGGTAGTTTTATTTATCTATAGTATTCCTGGTGTGGGCTATGCCTAAGATTTTTTAGTTTAGTTGTTATATATTTATATATATATTATCCTCATCCTCCCTCAAGTTGATGACTCGCCAACTCGATTTTTGCATTGGAGTTCTGAACCTGGATAAGGCTGAGCAGGTAGGTGGCGTCTTTCCCCTTGTTCCTCCGCAGGAAGACAGTGACGATCGCCCCTTTTTGGGGTGTTTTCTCCCTTCATTGGAACCAATTACCGGCCCTTGCCAATTCTTAAGCCTAGGTGCCGTTTCCATCAATCCCTGCCGATTCTTGAGATACACAAACTATGAAGAGCATGCCCACCCAAAAGCGTGAAAAGAGTGAAAAGAGCAAAACTCAGCTGACACCGAACCGTTTGCTGGTCTGTGATCAGTGCAATCTCTGGGTAATCCTAGTACAACAATAGCGGCATAGCTGGTGATACGTCACTGTTTGGCTCTCGGTTTTGGATCAAGAACAGTTAACCTAATTTTTAATTAATTTAAGTTTACCGTTCTTGGTGTTGGATGACTATCTATCTTGGCCTGTTTCCCTCCTGCCAGAGCAGACGTGAGAGGCTTTCGCTCCCCTCTCTTTCACTTTTGTGGAGATGCGCCAGGTTGATTCTTGGTTCCTTTACTTGCAAGAAGCGTTTTCGCTTTTGTTTCCCTCCCGCCCTTACGCTCAAAACGCTTACGGGTTTTCGCTCCCGCCCTTACCAGAGGAGGTGGTAGTTTCTTTTAACCTGGTTCCGCCATCGTAGGATTTAGTTTTTTTTTGGTGAAGTTATCTCCTCTTGGTCCAGGCGGTTAAGCCAAGACTTCCCCACACCCTCTACCCGTGGGACATGTAACCTAACCTAATATGACGGATAGGATAATCCCATCCGGCATCGTTATATCGTTATTTATATATCGCTACATCCAGGGACGAGATAATGAGATGTTCCTTAGAAATCAGCCAATGTGTTAGATGGAATTTCCCCTAGCACCTGACTAGGAACTTTCCCACCAACGACGAGATCTCCTAAGGAAGGTCAACTTATGATAATTTTATTTGTAAAATTATATGATGTATGTTATCGATTGGCATACCCTACCATAACAGTGAAACATCTGTTCTTTTCATTCTTGTTGGTAATTAAGTTGAATCAGATTAGATAAATTATGTGTAAGAATCAATTTTGAGATTTTTCCACTCTATAGATGATTTAAATTCAGGACCGTTAAGCGGAGCTGCAGGGCAAAAATAAATTTCGCCTAATAAAAAAATGGTTTATATAAACGAATCTCGAAGATTAAAGTGTTTCATTGTACTTAAAACACGAGTTATTACAATTAACCCAAATAACTTTAGACTCTTTAACCCGAAATAACGGGTTGAATATTCAGACCTAGTTTTTTTTTGTTTGTCGAGTAGAGTAGATATAATAGATGAATTATTCTTACTTGTAAATTTGTTCTGACATACCCATCATCATGGGTCTTAGATTTGAAAGAAATGCTATAATAATATTTTCTTCTGCGTTAAAAAATGCAATGAACACTACCCACATGACATTTCGCGTTAAAGGTTTTAGAGTGACAATCAATAACGTCGCAAAAATTAATACTTTTGTGACGTTTAAAAAATATATATTTTTTTATTTTTCAAAGTAAAATAACTCGGTTATTTTAGGCTTATTTGAAAAACGGTAGAGAGAGAATATGTTTCTTTATCGATATCTACCAGCCATATCTGAAAATATTTGGACTTATTTTAGACTCATCCTGTACAATTAACCTTAAAACCTTTAAAATATCCTAATTTCTTTACGAAGTTGTCTGTAAAAGATTGTAGAGAATTTAATTCTATACAAATTTGTTAATATTTCTTGATAAAAAGTGAAAATTACGAGCATTTCCAAGAGAAAAAAATGGGCAAGACTATAATGATTTTTTCATCTAATTGTAAAATTACAACTGCGTGAAACACTTTCAACCCGCTATTTTTTTTCGTTAAGTCAGTTTTGATTATAATGATTTAAATAATACCGTGTGCGTCTCGAAAGTGTTCCAATAAATTTTTATTTTTCCGCATAAAAAAAACAGATTTGGTATATTAGTACATGATATAAATTAGGATTGATTGACGTATTCAATTTTTTTGGTCACTTCTTATGACTACAACTTTTGATTTCTAAATGGCCCTCTTGGTATATTTCTACTTTATACGACAGAAACTACACTATGAGTAGAATGACACGTCATATGTCAACTTTTGAAATTTGCGCTTAAAAAAATCTTATTTTAAATTTCAATGTGGTGCCATGGCTGTGTTAAAAAACAATAATTTTTAATCAAGCTGCCTTGGAGAAATATAATTGATCGTCTAATGATTTTCGTGTGTTGTCCTGGCCGGTTAAAAGAAGCCCAAATCGTATTTTTAATTAATTTTAAATTAATTAATCATTTTTTCAAATAGAACAAGGCTGGCTTATGAGCATATTTGGAAAAAGCATATTTTTACGAATTATGTGGTACCACTTGGTATTTAGAGTCAAATTGTCGTTATGCATGTTACAATTTCAAATAAACCATATGCGAAAATGTCAAAAGTTAACATCTTGGTTAACATATGCTATGTCATTCTATTTAGAGTGTCGTTTTCGAATAAAGTAGAAATATACCGAGGGTGCCATTTAAAAATCACAAGTTGTAGTCATTTCCGGTGAAACAGGAAGTGACCAAAAACAATTGAATACGTCAATTAATCCTAATTAATGTCACATAGCAACATACCAACACTCGTTTTTTAACTGAAGAAATGAAAAAGTTATAGGGGTGAGCCTCTTTTGAGACGCACCCGGTATATGAGCTTAATATAACTACTTATAATATATTATTTTTTAAATTTTAAATGGTGTACTAATGTAACTAAATGTAACTACATATTTTTAATATATTATTTAAAATATAATATATTAAAAATAGCTAAAATTATTTCAAAAATAACAATATTTTAAAAATGACTTTTCCATTATATTTTTCTGCACTAGATTTTAATTTAATTTTTAAATACATTTTTTTCACTTAACGGTATCTTATAAACCTAGTTTATCGGTTCCAAATAATATTTCGGCCCAAAAATTTGTAATTTACCGATAATTTGACCTATTCTAATAGATATTGTTTTGAATACGCTAGCCCCAGAATAAGATTGATAGAAATCAAACATACCCTACTTTGAAATCCTTACATGCTATTGTTCATACGTGATATGATTTTGAATACAGGGAAGTCAATGGTATACAAATATTGTCTTAATTTTTCACACAGTTAGTGACGTATTATTGGTTTGATAGAAGGTACCAATTAAATTTGAAATATTTATTGAAACGCTTTCCTGCAGTTAAGCAAAAATGTTTACAAAAATATTATTTTTATTTTCTGCTATTCTAATTCATCAAGTTTCATGTAGTAGTGACCATATGAATCAAGAAGTTTCGGATGAAAAAGAGAGTATTAAATTTGTAGGAAGGATGTTAGAGCAAGGTACATAATTTTATATTAAGATAATTCTTTATAATAAATTCTATGACAATTATTCTACAAAAATAATTGTTTGTGGATTCTTGTCATGATAATTCTTCTTACTTGTTTTCGACCTATTCGGTTTCTGTACTTTGATTTTTTTTTAATAATTTATAGATTGCTATATTTGCCATGTTTTTAGGACTTCTATTGCATGTTTAATTCATTTTTCTCCACGTTTAATGTCTAGAATACTATTATTATATCAAATTTGAAACCTGTAGTTTTGTATTATGTATAAAGTATCTGTAACGACGAGGTCTATCCTTTAATCTATATTAATATAGGCTAATATATAAAATCCTTAAGTGACTGACATACTGATTAATCACGATCCTGCTCAAACCATCTGAAAAAAATTAAAAAAGTTATAGTTGGGATATACACTACTCAAAACAATTATTTCATATTTAAATAAAAATAATGATTACATATATTATTTCTAAATGAAGCACGCATTTTTCTGCCTTTCTCTTGTGAGTTTTTTAGGATAATTAGAGTACGCTGACATGTAATTTTTAGTCGGCCGACTATTTAGTTGCAAAAGTGAGATGCAGAATTTTATTACAATTTAAAATATATTTAACCAACATCAACACAATTAAACTATATTTAATGACAATAAAAATAAATAGCAAACCAAGACATGAGATTTTGCTACAGGTGTTCGACATATCGACCGTCTTCTGTTAAAAAAAAAAACAACGCTTTATTGTACAAAAAGCCAAAACAGCTTCATCGACAAAGCAAAACAAAAAAAGCACAAAAACAAATATACAAATAATACAAAAAATGTCATACAATACAAATCAATTCAAAAAAAAAAAAATTACGTCATAAAATTACAAATAAAACATTATATGGACATTGCAGAACACAGGCGTATCTAGAAAATTTTACAAAAGGAAAACTGTAAATAGATAAAATCATGTTATAATAACATAAAATCAAAAGTTATAAAATATTAAATACTAGACCTTTAACCAGTGTATGAGAAGATCAAAATATTAAAATTAAAATTCTAAATTGTTCATGATTAAACATCAACAAAAAAGTCGTTTACTGCATATAGGGCTCTCTCCAGTAAGTATGATTTCAGAGCTTTGCGAAATGCGGGAAAGAATGAAAGTGACTTGATATTCGAACGCAAATGATTGTACATTTTCTTGGCATTGTACAGTATTGAGCCCTTAACTAGTTCTGAGCTCGGGGTTGGCAGATAAATATCGTGCTCCGCATTCCTAAGTGGATATTTGTGAGAAGGCCTTTCCGGAATAGAGAATATGTGCTTGCGGATTAAGCAAACGTATTCAAAAATGAATAAGGAAGGAAGAGTCAGTATTTTGAAATTTTTAAAGAAATTCTGGCAGTGAGTTCTACTGTTTAGTCCCAATAAGTATCGAACTGCTCTCTTTTGAAGTTTGAAAATACGATCAAATTTTGTCGCGCAGCAAGTACCCCAGAATGGAAGGGCATAACGAAGATGCGACTCAAAAAGGGCATAATAGACCATTCTAGAGGTTGATGAGTTAAGTTCCTTAGAAACTGATCTTAGAGCAAAACAGGCAGAGCTTAGTTTCTTTGATAAGGCTTCGATGTGCAAGTCCCATTTTAAAGAGTTGTCCACAACAAGTCCTAAGAATCTCACAGAGTCCAAGACGTCAATAGTGGTGTTAATAAGTACAAAAGGTTGTATAGTACTTTTATATGACAAAACTTTAGTTTTTGAAAGGTTGAGGCATAGGAGATTAGAATCGCACCAAGATTTAATGGTGCGTAAGTCACTGGATATAGTATCATATAGTGCCGTAACATCTGGGCCGCTCCAAGTGAAACTAGTATCATCCGCAAAGAGGCAGATTTTACCGCTAATGTCTAGATTTGCAATGCCGTTGATAAACACCAGAAATAAAATAGGGCCAAGTACTGAACCCTGAGGGACACCACATTCTATAGGCTTACAAGAAGACATAGACGTATCAATCCTCACAAGCTGCCTTCTGTTGCCAAGATACGACTTAAGCCATTCGAGCGGCACTCCCCTGAATCCATAGTATTGCAATTTGTTAATTAAGATATTATGATTTACACAGTCGAAAGCCTTAGAGAAATAACAGAAAATTGTGGCTGTAGAGTGATGGTTATTCAGGCTAGAGTATACATTATTAAAAAGGTCGAACATAGCATCATTTGTGCAACTATTACTTAGAAATCCAAATTGATGGGTAGAAAGTACTTTATGTTTAGGGAGAAAACATAAAAAAATGATTTTAGATAATGTGGGCAGGAGAGCAATTGGGCGATAGTTCGAAGCTTGATTTTTATCTCCTCCTTTATGGAGAGGAATAATTATTGCTGTCTTGAGGCAGTTTGGAAAAACTCCTTTTTGGAATGACTCATTAATTAAAGTAGTAAGATAGATTAATGTGCATGCCGGAAGTTCAGAGAACATTTTGAGAGTAAGCCCATCAGTCCCAGATGAGAATTTATTTTTAATACTTTTAATTGTACTACGGAACTCATCTAATGCTACGGGCGTGAAGAAGAAACTGTGTAAATTCTCATTTGCTTTAGGGAGATATGAAAGTGAATCATGAGGAGTTATGGTGTTCACTAAATTTTTAGCCACATTAACAAAGTAAGTGTTTATATCTTCAGGTGAATTAAAGACTGTGCCAGACGAAGAAGTCTTATTCCTTAAGTCATTTACAATAGCCCAAGTCTCTTTAGCAACATTACCGGATTTGGCTAGCTAGTGAAAACAATACATTCTTATGAAGCTGATCGGCCCAATATTTGACTACATTGCCATCCAATATATTCTTATGGAGCCGCGCTCACATTCATTCGAAGAGTCGGCCCCGTTCGACTTCATAGTATGTATTGTTTTTCACTTTTACAACTAAATAGTCGGCTGACTAAAAATTACAGGTCAGCGCATAGACTTATTGTATCGAATTTCCCTTCACAGTACCATACCTACTATTTAAAATCGTAAGTCAGGGAATTCAAAGTGTCTTGTTTTTCAAATAATATTTTTTTTAAAAACTGTGCAATAATTGTTTTAAGTAGTGTATTTTCCCAAAAAATAACCGAGATATTTTACTATGATTAAAAATTCGCTTTTATTTTGAGAAATGCTGGATATTTTCTGGGTGTTCTTTCATGTAAATTTAATCTGCTACCTATGTTACCATATTATGAAGATATTATGTTTCTTTTACTAAAAATAAAAAAAAGTCCAATTTTTTTCTAAATTCCGAATTTTCAAAAAGAAAAATTTTGCAAAAAAAATCATAGACGTGTTTCTGGGATCGAAATATACATACCACCCCTATAGATATTTGCACTTATTTAAGACTGACCCTGTATATCTTAAAAAATCTGAAAATTATTTCTACTGCTTATTTCTAAAAGCTTACATAGTGGTTTTTAATGTTTGACCTCATAAATTAAATCTTATTTAATCTCTTTTTTTATTAGTAACATACTTAATAAAAAAGTATATTTTTACAAAGGGAAAGCATTCTCTTTTTTTTTAATTAATAACTTGTATATTTCCATTATATGTATACTTTGGATTGGAGACCTAGTTTAAATGGGTATTTGGTGCAAGCCATCAATCGGAAAATTATAGTTGCTTTCACTGAAGGAGACATTGAAAATACGTCATCTAATAAAAATATTATATTTATCATCTCGAAAGCTTGGGATCTGAGTCTTTTTTTTGTTATTGTTTTAATTCTATTTGTAATATCTAACTAAGTTAGTAAGTAAGTGTATTTGTCGATATTATAAAGTAGATATTTTAGTATAGTCTTTTGCTATAGTTACTACTTTTTAAGACTTCTAGAAATTGAATTGTGGAGGGTTCTTTTAAAAGTAAGAAATCATTTTCAGCTTTTCAAACAAATTAAAAAAAGTTAAGAATTAAAGAACTGTTTTAGAGTACTATTAAAATGTAAATGATCGGAAGATATAATATACAACTAGAAATATTATTCATGAAGTCTAAAAATAGGATTTTATTTATTTTATTTAAATTCTTTCATTTTAAGTAACCACATTCAGTGGCGGACAGTGAGGGGGGCCAAGGACCCAGCCCCCCCCCTAAAATCTATAAGTTGTTTTAAATATTAAGCTTATGGGTAAAAATGGCGCTCTAAAAAGCATATTCTACATTAGTTTTATTTGCCCACCCCCCTAAAATAAATCCCGGCCCCCCCTAAAATAAATTTCTATATCCGCCCCTGACCACATCCAGATTACGAGTAGTACTGCGAAATTCCACTGTAAAATTAGTATCACTTTTTAAAAAGCCTTGTTAAGTAGACTCCATAATGCCATTCGGGAAAATACCGCATTTGTGGTCAAGAGAAAATTGTATTTATTGGTGAATTTTTGGTATGCTAGGTCGAATTCGAATGTTTTCTATTTCCTTAATAGTATTTTAAAGATATATGAATACTCCATTGAACATCGGAATAATATACTGGGTGTTCCATTTAAAATATTTATAGGAGTAACTTGCTTTTAAAAGTGACCAATGTTCAATATTAATTTGGTTTCCCCTGTATAACTTATCGGGTCAAATTTCAATCTGGTCTAGCTTACAATGGTTGTTATAAATATGAAGAAATATGAAGAATCAATAAAGTCGCTCAACGGTCGCAAAAAACATATTTGCTTTCCAAATACATATAAGCCTTTTCAAAAAAAAACATATAAGCCTTTTCAAATACCCACGATTTTTTTCTGTACATATTGAATTTAAAGTTTTTTCTTTAATGAGATTTTGTATTCCGTTTTTTTTTCTTATGCCTGTCATTTTTGACAAATGACACAAACATATGACTGTTTTTTTAAATAGAAACCATAGTTGGCCATTACTTCATAAAAAGCGCATTTTTTAAGATTTCTAGCGATACAAGCGATAATATGTTTTTTTCGAAAAATTACGTAGTTATAACCAAAACAAGTATACACGGTTTTGGATCTGAGCAACTAAAAGCAATTTCTAAGATAATTTTTGGAGCTGAATCCAAATCAGCAGTCCATTTTTTAAGATTGGTTCTAGTTTTCGAAATACTCAATAAATTCATTATTTTTCTATTTTTGACCGTTAACGGTTATTTATTGAATTAATCAATATAAATCAGAAATGAACAAAGGTTGAACTGAGTCTTTTATACTGTTTGGGATCTGTTTCACGGATTAGGGTCCAACAGTAATCGCTCATCATGCCTTCGTCCCAAAATCCTTGGTATCGCCTTTCGATTTTCGCTATATTTTGGTGTAGCCGCTCTCCTTGCTCGTCGCTCGTGTCGCCTAAGTTTTGTGGAAAAATATCAAGATGTGAATGCAGAAAACGTATCTTGAGAGACATTCGAGCTCCAATCTTGTGGTAATTTTGTAACAAATTGTCGATTACTTGCTTGTAATCCGGTGATTTATGATTACCGAGAAAGTTGTGAACAACACTTTGAAACGATGCCCATGCTGCTGCCTCATCAAGCGTTAAACATTTTGTAAACTTTGCGTCAGCCATTAGTTTTCGAATATCAGGTCCGACAAATATTCCTTCTTTGATTTTTGCGTATGACAGTTTTGGAAACAACTTGGTTAAGTACTGGAAAGCCGGGCCTTCGCGATTGAGCGCTTTGACAAAGTTCTTAATAAGGCCAAGTTTAATGTGAAGAGGCGGCAGTAAAACGTCCTGTGGGTTTACAAGTGGTACAGAGGACTCATTTTGTTGTCAGTGCTACTGCCATGCGCGAACTCGAACCGAAACTAGAGCCAATCTTGACAAACGGATTGAAGATCTGAGTTCAGGGCATCAAATAACGTTAAGAATCGTTCTCATCTGCTCGGGTCCAAAAGTTGACCCGAATTTGTAAACTTGTGAATTAATATCTTTCTTGACTAATTTCACTTAGTTGGTATGGTATTTTTATTCTGTTATAAATTACAACTTATAAAAAGACAGAATATATTATTAAACGGTTCTTTACAATTTCCATTACACAAACTAAAACTTTAAAAAATAATATCACTACATACACTTTAAGTTATTTTAGAAAATGTTCAAAAAATCCGCCATTGTTTTGAATTCATAAATACATCTTTTTAAAACTGAATTACCTACCTACTAGCTTTTCTCGCAGAACGACCGGCCCACTTTATTAAACTTCTCCCATACCGCCTCTTTGAATGCCTCTCTTAATACATAAGTTCTTTTGTAAACCTAGTTGTTACCATAATGAAAGTCACTCTATTGATGCGCGTTTTCAATGTCTTGAAAACCGTTCTCCAAAAAGCCGTAAAGTCCTCGAAAATGTACGGCCAAGAAAAGTTGAACCAGTAATCCTACTCGCTATTATTCTTTCAAAAATTCATATTTACAATTTTTGTTTATTTTAAGTTTCAAAGTTTGCATGTGACACTTTGACATTTCTGAAAGCAACGACGATTGAACTTGTTTCCATAATTAACTAAGAAGAATTGTTTAAAAATGATACGAATTGGCTATAACTCAGTAATTTTTCAAAAAAAAACAACATATAGCTTATATCGCTGAAAAGCTTAAAAAATGGCGTAAATCATGGCCAACTATGGTTTCCATTTAAAAAAAAAACATATGTTTGTGTCATATGTCAAAAATGACAGGATTTAGAAAAGGAACGGAGAACACAATCTCATTAAGGATATGATTACCTACAACTTTTATCTGAAAACTTGTCAACTATACGGGTCGTCTGAGTCGGACTTTTTTGGAAATGATTTTGAAAATGAACAGCAAAAATCCATTAATTCTTAATATTAAACAAAAAATTCATTATTTGAAAAACGCTAAACATCTAAAAATGTTTTCTTTATCGAGATCTACCAATCCTGAAAATCTAGTCAGAACTTGTATATAAATCAACAAATATTTGTCCTTATTATACTAGAAATATAATTTTTCTATCAAAACAACTAAGCGTTTGGATAATCTTATTTTCTCCAGCTAGTCTAGCAAAGTTTACTAAATTCAGAAATACCTACATATTTTAATTTAATTTATTTTTTAGGTCGAACGTTGGTTCATCATACTGTTAAAAGATTTATGATAATTTTGCCAGCTATATTTTTCAAGTTAGGAATTGCATTTACATTGCTAGTACTTGTAACTATAGTGGCAATTAATAACGGTAAGGATAGTTTTATACCATTTTTAATTATTATAAATAATAGGTTCTCAAGATATGCTTTCTAAACTTGTTACTAAAATAATATGGCTCGTGTAAATTACTTTTCTCTAAGTTAATTAATGTCTTTTAAATTACATATCCAAAGTGAAAATCAATAAATAATATATTTTATATACTTTATTAAATAATCTTAGATGTCTTTCTTTATTGTATTTTTTTGTATTTCATATTTTTAAATTAAAACTGAACAGGTAACACTACAAAACCAAGTAAACAAGGGTGCATATACTGGAGGTGTAATGGGGGTCATTGTCCCTCTCAGGAAGAAATTAAAAAATAAGAAAATCTGGTATAAAATAAAATTGCTACAAAATAAATTATTACTTTATTTTGTAACAAGAATCGATCAAAATAGAGATCCAGAACAATTTAAGTTTATCTTTTTCTATAGTCACAATAATTTTGAGAAAAAATTTAAATTAAATATATTACTTTATTTAAATATTGCCACTACCCCTCCCAGACTCAATTTTTGGATGCGCCACTGCATATACATACATACTGCCATTACTCGCTGACGAGTATTCGACACACATCAGAAGATGGACACGCAAGGCGATTTCTTTCATGAGTTTTTCTGTGACTGAAAAGCCCGATACGTGATGTTATCTGCCTACCGCACTCCGGATATTCAAAAATCTCATTGCTTTGTTGCCTTTTTACTTTTTGGTAGTCGTTGTTAACTGTGTTTACAATTCTTCTCCATTGAGTTGTATTATACTTCTCCATATATACTATTGTGAGCTGCTTTTTCCCACTCATTCTGCATGTTAATCTCCTTTAAGTTTTCGTGGAAAATGTCCTTGTACCTTTTCAGTTGTCCGCCCGGCCTCCTCTTACCGTCTACAAGCTCACCTTAAAGCAGAGATTTTGGTATGCAGTTTTCTTGCATTCTGCATACGTGGCCAGCCCATCTTAAGCGGAATTTTGTAACCATAACTTCAATACTCTCGCAGTTAGCTTTTTCAAGGACCGATACGTTGAGACATGATGGAACCACCGGATTCTTAAGAGTTGTCTAAGGTGTCTCTGTTGCAACTTGTTTAATGCGTTCATGTGTCGGCGGTACGGCACCCAGGTTTCGCTCCCATATAACATGGCGGGGATTATAATTGCTCGGTACACTGCAAGTTTCGTTTTTGTACTCAAGTCATGATTGTAGAAAACCCTGTCTTTTAATTTCCAGAATGCTCTTGAGGCGCTGCTAATCCTGTGCTGAATTTCAGAGTCAATATTGGCCTTTTCCGAAATCAAACTGCCGAGGTAATTAAATTCCGCCACATATTCTAATAGTTATTCTCCGATGAGGGGTTCGGATGTTAATAGTTACCTCTTTAATAGACCATATCCCTATATTATTTTTTCCTTTTCTTGGGTATGAGGTTTTTAACATGAGATGGAAACTTTTTTATGCGACGTTTCGCTCCAACATAGTGGTTTTTTTCAGGCACACGTGGTGTCTCATTTGACAATATCTAATAAAGAACACATTTTTTGAAATACAAATAATTTTGAGTTCTTGTTCTTATGATCAAGCCAAGTATTAACCAGATCGGCATTGCTTAACAATTTTACTCCATCTGAAAAGTATTATAAAATAAAGTTCGTCGCAAGCAGACACAGGTGAACTATACAAAAAGTAATTTTCAAACTTTTTGTAATTTTAAAGACTTAATTTTTTTTAAAATGTATTATTTGTATTGTGTATTTTTTGTTGTTTGTATTTTTTTGTGATTTTGTTGTTTGTGAGTGCTTTGTCGATGAAGCTGTTTTGGCTTTTTGCACAATAAAGCGTTGTTTGTTTGTTTGTTTGTTTGTAAAAGTGTATGAATATGACAACAAAAATATCCAATAAATACGATATGTTTTTTTTTATTTTTTTTTGTCTTTTTGAAGTTTGAAAACGTAAAATTTTTATACCCATTTAAGAATCATCTTAAAAAATAAATAAAAACTAAACAATCACGAACTTGTTTAGAAATAAATTTAAAGTACATACCTTGTTTAACAATATCCATAGCCGCTTTCAATTAAGTATGTACCGTTTAACTCCATATACAGAACTACTATGAATGTTACTCTTTTCACTGATATAAGATAACGATCGCAAAATTTATTTTTAGTGAAAATATTTGCTAACAAAAACGCTGATTATGATAAAATTACATATTCAGATATTAGTAAATTGTAATTTGTTTTTCGATTTTTGTCCATGGGACGAAGCACTGTCCGTCGTATCTGTAGCTAATGCCCAATCTTTTCTCATGCAGTTTACTGTCCACTATAATGGAGAGCGCTGCCATGAATATGTTGAATAGGAGAGGCGCTAAGACACATCCCTGCCTAACTCCTGAGTAACTCCTATGCCTCGCAGTTGTTAGGAAGGGATCGCTCATTGATCCATGATGGTGACACTCTTGACTTGACTTGTTGTTGTTATGGAGGCTTTTACACACTGTAAGAAATTTGTTGGGTACTCCGAACTTTTTCATAATTGCCCAAAGCGCATCTCTGTTCACAGAGTCGAAGGCTTTCATTAGATCGATGAATGCAACATAAAGTTTAGACTGCTGCTCTTTCACTTTTTCCTGTAGTTGGCGGATGGAAAATATGGAATCGACGGTGCCGCGGTTGGTACGGAAACCCATTTGCGATTCTAGAAGGATTTTTTCTATATATGGGTGCAGGCGGTTTGACATATTTTTTGAAGAATTTTTCCTCCGATAGCCAAAGTGAAATTCCCCGGTAATTTCCGCAGTCTGATGCACTTCCTTTGTTCTTAAATATATTCACTACATTCGCGTTGCGAAAGTCCTGAGGTACCTCTCCGCTTTCCCATATGACATCGAAGAGAGCCTTAAGATGACCAATAAGTTCTTTACTTGCACACAGCCAGCTGAGTTGTTTTTAAGCTGTCTTATGGAGATCTTTATTTCCTGTTCTGTTGTTGGGATGATACTATACATCGAGGCTGTTATACTAAGGTATTGTGTTTAGTGCTTCCATATTGGGGTTGTTTTCTAGGTTGAGGATATGGCTGTAATAATCTTTCCAGCGATTTCAGATTTGTTCTTCCTTTTAAGATTGGGCAGCTTACCTTCTTGGTTAGACCGTATACTTCTTTTACAGTCTCGAAGAATTTACGATAATCGTGATGCGTGGTGTACTCTAGAATCTGATTAGGTTTTTGTGACCACCAGTTATCCTTTATTACTTGTTTAGTTGGCGCAGTTCTCTTCGAAGCGTGTTGTTGGCTGCTTTAAAGTTGTCTGCTACCAGTCTTGGATTGTGTGGATTTGCAGTGACTGCTTGATGTGCTCTATGCTTTTGTTCCAATAAAGCCTGTATCTGTATATGCGGCTGATTTTCGCTAAACCAGTCTGGTTGATTCTTTTTGTTCGATTTTCCCAGAACTGCTTCTTGCTGGTTTTATGAATCGCATCCCTTAATTGAGTCCAGCCTTGTTCAGCTGCCAAGATTGAGATTGAAGTTATCGGTGGAAGTAATTCTTTGATGGCTTCCAGGAGGACGTCGGCGATATTGTTCTTCTCTAGACCCCGTACGTTCAATCTGGTCATGTTGTTTTGCTTTTTACAATGTGGATGTTTGGGTTTTAACTGGATTTTCATTTTTGAACTATCACGTGGTCCAGTTGATGCCAGTGGCCTGATCGGGGATGTTTCCAGGTACCTTTAAACTTATCCTTCAACATGAACCACGTATTGGTGATGGAAAGATTATACTCTGCGCATGTTTTTAATAAGCGTTCACCATTGCTATTTACGTTTCCTATTCCATGTTTTCCCAATACGTCAGGCCATATTTCCTGTTGTTTGCCAACACGGGCATAAAAGTCACCTAACAAGATGATTCGTTTGTGCTTTGGAATTCGTTGGATTTTGGAGAACTTGATAAAATTTATCCTTATCCTCAATTTTAGCGTCTAGGGAGGGAGCGTAGGCACTAATAATGTGTAAACATAAGTAAGTTTTGCCTGATATGGGGTACCTTAAACGTTAATATAAGACGTTCGGAGACACCAATATATTGGTGTCTCCGAACGGTGGCGATTTCGTTTTTGATCGCAATGCCTACGCCATGAATTCTCCTGTGTGTTGCGGGGTGGCCCTTCCAAAAGAAGGTGTAATGCTCCTCAGTGAGACTACCTTCATCCGAAAAGTGGGTTTCGCGAAGAGCGGCAACATCTATATTTTTTAATCACAACCTAACCGATGATACGCTCGAGTAGGCACCTCCTCCCGGAGATCCGATTGAGGGGGTATTTTACCTCCGGACGATGATTTTGTCCCACTCGAATGTTCCATCATTGCTGTGTGTAAGCTGCATGAAAAGGTTTAACTGTGACGGTTACGCTGCCGCACAGTTTTGGCTGCAACTGTAGCACGGGATGGCTATGGCACAGTGAGTTGCTACGTTCTCGGCCGGCTAGGTGTAGTTTACTACCTGTTTACTACTCCTCTTCCCCAAAAAGATGGTAGGTCTGAGGGTTGTATAAGGTTATACCGCCTATACTCGGACGTCAGAGCCTCGTTTGTGTCAATACGAACTGCGCCACTGCAAGTAAATAAGAACATACCTTAAGTTGTCAACTTATAATTTTATCAACGTCAAATTATATTTCCTAAATATTAGGCTTTTTCTAATTAAAATAATTTTTAAATTAAAAATGCATATCGGGCACATTTAATTGTAGGTACTATAACATAGTAGCGTAGACAACACAAAAAATTGTATTCAATCATAGGTTGATAACTTAAGGTATTTACACTTGACATTTGCCTGGTTTTGCATTTTTACTGTTCAGTTTTATTTTAAAAATAAATGCAATTTTTCTTGAATATTTAAAAACGGCTTGCCCAAAATTGTTCAAATTTGACATGTCCATTGAAGTCTCAATTATACTTTTTACCTTGATAATTTACGTCCATTCGCAATGTCTAAAAATACAATTAAAACATAGATAAAAGAAACAAGTTTAGATTGGAAAGTCGAAAGTGCCCATAAGGACAATGTAAATACTATTTGGCGCTATTCTTACAACAGTCGCTCTCCAAAGCTTTTGAAAATTTTTGGAGCGATTCGGCTTTTTCCGGAATTATGTCGCCAAATATTATTTATTCAAATTTATTATTATTTTCTTTTAATTTTTTAAATAAAATACAGTGTGTTGCATATAAGAAACTTTATTTTATATAAGTACATATATGAAATGAAACCTGAAAAAAAATGAAAAAAACTATAAAATATTAGAAACCGACGTTACCTGATGTGCTACGATCCACGATGGTTTTTGCAATTCACAGTTCACAGAGCTTTTTAACTTTTTAATGCTACTTTTTCTTTATCACGGGTTTGAGTAAATAAAATTCAAATTTTAGTATTTAGAGAGTTTACTCACAAGATAGCAATAATTACTTTGAAAATGGACGCTTTAAACACTTTCCGGTTTTTTTCCAATGAGGACGGTTTAAATTTTAAGATTTTATAATTTTTGTAGATTCTGACTTTGACAAGAGAAAATTATTTCTGTTCTTGCTTGCGGTTGTTCTTAGCAACACTTGTAGCAGCGCCTTACAACGTATGCACTCCAAAACAATTATAAGTTTTGACGACAAGCCGAGAATTCCAATCTAAACTTTTGTTTTTCGTTATCTATGAATTAATATGAATAGAATATCCTAGCAACAGCTTACCGTAGTCAGTAGTACTCTCTACGGACGATAATCAAAAGACCAAAATGACATTACTAGCTAATTTCAAATTATAGTTAGTGGCTGAACTGAAAAGTACTATCACTAATTTTGACGTTCGGAATGCTTACATTGATATTAGGGACACAAACTTCTACGTTAATTGAAACCACTAATTTATTCCTCTAATTTTGAGGTTCTGAATCGAGCTTTAAGGGTTGGTGCTGATTGGCCTAAAGCATCGATATTTTTCTTATGATATTATGTAACTCTATATTTTTTTTATAGGATTCATTGGATTCCTGTTATTAGTTGTTGGACTTAGTAGCGTTTTAGCTAGACTTCAGGAAGCTAGAAGACCTGCGGCGGCATCATTTCCGTACATTTCAGCATTACCAAGCTATTATCATCATGGTCATAATCTTCATGGATGGGATAGAAGTGATAATACACCAGAGAAAACGGTTACTTTAGATGGAAGTACACAGTATTCTCCAAGTTATCAACACTATAAGCCATATTCTTCGGCGTATAGTACCTACAGTCAAAAAAACTTTAGAAAAGAAAAAAGTAAGAAAGACTTATAATGAGATAGTGAAGTAAATTATTTTCGGCATGGTTTTATGCAGATACAGGTCGTTCTACTTTTTAGTACCAGAAGTTAACTAAATGAACTATGAATAATGAACATGATATATATTTCTTAATTTAACATCAGCTATATTGTAGGTATTATACCTATATACTATACTTATACTATACTTATACTTACTTACTTTTTAACGACCACTATAATAGTGGTCGTTAAGATATCGAGAAAAAGAGTATGTAGTATTTTGAATAATAAATGAATTATAATGTCATGTAAAAACTGGATATTATTTGTTTCTTTTATTTATTTATTTTAGTTTCTTTTATTTTCTTTTAATTAAATGCATATGAAAGAATGAAAGCAATTAGATGCATATGAAAGCATCAGAATTAATAAATGTAAAGATAGTATGAACAGAGACAACGGTCCAATTCCTTCAAGTTCTTTGTTCCTACTACTCTAGTGGCGGAAATCTAACTGTTACGCTCAGTTGGCTCTGACTCGGTTGGCTAGTTTTTGCCACGCCCACTCCGTGCCCACTGGGCGAGTATATAAACGCTCAACTTGTAGATTGTACTTTAGTTTATAATCATCTGCTGATGATGCTAACATGGTTAGCGAAACGCGCGTCCAGTGTAAAAGTAAAATGTTTTGGTGTATTGTGGTGATTTAGTGTTTTTATTTTGCTGTTTAACACCAAAGGTTCCAACCCTCAACTGTAATCTTCGATGGCTTCACGGTCAACGGAACTGAATCTTTATCGTAAGTTTAGTACTAAGATTAGGTTATTAGGTGCAGATATTTGGTTTCTTAAATCATGCAAAGCCAATTCAGTTTATCCTAGTTTTATTAAAGTTGATATTCCGAAAAGTAACGTTAGTGATAAGGTAGAGAAAATTGCAAAACAAAAATGGCTTGATTTAGAAATCAAATTTCTGTATAGTAAACGAAGTAGGCTTGAAATTGAAGCCTATGGACTTTACAAAAAACTTACTTATAAGCTAACTAATGTAGAGTATGAATGTTGGTGTCTCTTTCAGAGAAATATGTTTGTGGTTATCAATTCAAAATTTGTTAAAAAAATGTCCATTTTGAATAGTAAGTTTAAAAAATTAAAAAGCTCTAAAAACAAACATGTTTTCCAAAGAGACATAAACATAGTAGAGAATCTTTCTTCGCAGACTTTTGATAAACAAGAGCTCAGTTTATTAAACAAAGGTTTAAAGTTTGCATTGCCCAACTCTGGTAGCGCTTTGGAGGAAATCGTCGTTGGTGTTGAAACTGCTATTCAGCACTTGCCCGAGGCTTCTAAAGTATTTGCAAGAGAGGCTTGTAGAAATCAGTTATCAAAAAATATCGTTTCAAGTAAATCATTAAAATCTAACAAGGAGCACAATATTGTCAAGAGTTTGCGTAACAAAGATTGTTTCTACCTAAAAGCTGATAAGGGAAATAAGGTTGTTATATTAGATAAAAAAGACTATTACGATAAGGTTAACAACTTAATCGATAATGGCCCCTACATAAATTTGAAAAAGAATCCTTTGTCTAAGATGGTAGCAGACGTTAAAAAAACTCTAAAAGAATGTAACACCCTTATTGATCTTTCTTTAAAGAGGAAATTGCAAGTATCCAATCCCTCATTACCAAAATTGTATGCTTTGCCAAAAATTCATAAACCGGACAAGTCTATGCGTCCAATTGTATCGGCTGTAGGTTCTCCGACTTATAATTTGGCAAAATGGTTATCAAGGGAGTTCGAAAATTTACCTGATCATGAACCTTCTTTAGCAGTTAAAAATAATATTGAATTCATTAACAAAATTAAAGATATAACATTGCATGAAGGTGAAATTTTGGTCTCCTTTGATGTATCTTCGTTGTTCCCAAGTGTTCCAATTCCACATACTTTAGGCTACTTGAAGGAATTACTGAACGCAAATGGTCTCGACAACAAAACTGTGACTGAATATATTGAGCTTACATCGTTATGTATGAAACAAAATTGTTTTCAATTTAATAACAACTTTTTTGAACAGCGGGAAGGTACAGCAATGGGTAATCCATTGTCTCCATTTTTGGCTAATTTATTCATGAGCAGGTTTGAAGTGGAGGCTAAGAATCACTTTGAGTATTTTCCAAGAGTTTGGTTTAGGTATGTGGATGATATTTTTGCTGTTTTTGACACACATTCAGACACCATAGATAATTTTATTTCTAAGTTAAATAATCGTTTTCCTTCCATTAAATTTACGCATGAAATTGAGAACAACGACAGATTACCATTTCTAGATGTATTAGTTATTAGAAATGCTAATAATTGCCTGGAATTTGATATCTATAGGAAAAATACGACCACACGCAGATATATTCCTAATGAATCACATAATAGTGTTGAACATAAAATGGCTAGTTTAAATTTCTTAGTTCATAGATTACTTAGTTTCCCACTTTCCAACGAAAGATATGAAATAGAAAGAGATTACATTAGGAATGTAGCTGAGTGTAATGGATATTCTCCTTCACTAGTTGATAAATTAATTAGAAAACGTAGGTATAGGTTAATGATTTCTGAAAATTCGACTTTTCAAGTGGAGAAAGATACGTCTAAATATTTTTCGATACCGTTTGATAGAGAGTTAACCCGTGGTCTAAAAGGAATTTTTAAGAATGTCAATTATAAACTTGTGTACAGTGCTAATAATAAATTACAACAATTATTAGGTAATCCAAAGGATAAAACATCTCCACTGGAAAGGTCGGGTATTTATGAAATTTCTTGTAAAGATTGTAATCAGAAATATGTTGGGCAAACTAGAAGATCAATATTAACTAGATTTAAAGAACATTTAGCTCAGATAAGATATGGTAGACCGGATAAATCTTGCGTTGCCGAACATATTGTTGATAAAGAACATTGTATAGATCTTAATAATTTAAAATTAATTAAACAAGTCTCAAATTACAGGCAATTAGATGCATATGAAAGCATCAGAATTAATAAATGTAAAGATAGTATGAACAGAGACAACGGTCCAATTCCTTCAAGTTCTTTGTTCCTACTACTCTAGTGGCGGAAATCTAACTGTTACGCTCAGTTGGCTCTGACTCGGTTGGCTAGTTTTTGCCACGCCCACTCCGTGCCCACTGGGCGAGTATATAAACGCTCAACTTGTAGATTGTACTTTAGTTTATAATCATCTGCTGATGATGCTAACATGGTTAGCGAAACGCGCGTCCAGTGTAAAAGTAAAATTGTTTTGGTGTATTGTGGTGATTTAGTGTTTTTATTTTGCTGTTTAACACCAAAGGTTCCAACCCTCAACTGTAATTTTCTTTTATTTAATAAATTAGGTATATGAAACTGAATTTTCTTATTTCCTATCAATCTATAATTTGTAGACAGGTTGTTTTTAGACACTGTCAAAGTTTGTATTACAACTCTTTAGGAAACCACAATAACTAAATAAGATCGTTTTAAACACCAGTGTCTTACAGTTTAATCTCCGATTAAGTTCTTCTCCGATAGCACTTCTGAAAATACCGGATTTGTATATACAGCATTTTTCTTATTTAAAATGAATCTCCCTATGAAAATGAAAGTCTCTGTGAAATTTGCGGACTATTTCAGTCACTATAAATTAGGTTTTTGACAAAGGGCAAGAACCTGTCATTCAATGAGATCCAAATCTTAAAGAGTGAATAGTGCGAATATTGTAACTTGAAAAATATAAAAAAATGCTATCCGAATTTAGCTGACAATAACTTTACATAACCCATTTTTGTTCAAATGGAAATCTAGTAGAAAATGGTTTGCATTCGGTATAATGCAAAAATTATTATGAAAACTTTTTAATATCTAAATTCAGGGTCTTTTATAGGTACTACTTGAAGATGTTTAAAATATATTATTTTAAGAGAATCATATAATTAAAGTTGATAATCACTTGTGTTATTTTTAAACCACAATATTTATTCTCATCTCCACTATCTCTGACCTAATATAGCTGAGATTGGTGATTGACACAACAGTAAAATAAAGCACTAATAAAATATATCAAAATATAATATTAAAAAGTTTCAATCATCTGCCCATGATGATAATAACGTCGATTGAAAGAATTGAGAAGATACGCAATCTAATGGGCGAATTCGTGACAAGACTCATTTGATTTCCCCTTGCGTCTCAAGTTCTGTACGGTGGAGACACCAGTCCATCCGCGGCCAACGCATAAAACATATATTTTCTCTCATTCAGCTAGCGAATGCATACCGAAGACGATGTGGAACTGAAAGCGACCTTGTTGCTATATTAAAATGTGCAATATCTGTAATACGTTTGACAAAAATATCTTTGGATGAAAAATCCCCTTTGTGTATTGAAAATTTATTCGTATTAAACATAGAATAATAAAATTAAAATAAAAATTCTTTTATAGGTACTGAATATGTCGTATGATCGAAAAAAGTCGTTTAGTTGGCATGGAAATGACGGTTATTGACATTTACCATTATATTTTACATATGATAACAGCGATCTTTATTTCCAAACCAACTATGACGAATTGTTTAATGATAGAAAATGGGTATTATTAACGTACTGTACCATAAATCCGTAAATCTACGTAGTTTCAGAAACACTGTCTCCGGCAACCACTCACTCTGTCGACTGAAAGCAGAACTACTGTACCGTATTCTTTATCCGCTGCGCAGTAAACGGTTATCAGCGCGCAGCGGCGCAGAGCTAAGCTAAATCTCGAACAGGCTGACGGTACCGCCAGCTACATCTCGGACAGGTTTTGCGTCATGGGTTGCCGCAAATGATCTCATCATAGTAAATCAAGGTAATAAGCCGACATTTCAAAGACAAAATGCAAGATCTATAGAAGAAGAATCTAGAATATCTAAGACTTGACATTCTCTACCTCATACGAAACAACCCTTATTTCTAAATGGGAAGTTAGTGATAAAGAGTCATTGAGTGACCATAATTATATTACCTTTGAAATAATACCAATGGCACGTCCCGTGCGAGTACAAATGCACCAGGGATGGCAATTGAAAAAGCTCAACGTTGCTATCCTTGAAACTACTATCAACAACATTTGCGGTAGCAGACTGCCCCAGACTG